TTACTGTTTAGGAGCAAACAGGAGGGGCCATCTCAGTCGTTCGTTGCAAGTCGTCATAGAAATTAATGTTATGTGTATATACCATGGAGGACTATAGGATTGTATATTCCCTTATTGATATACTGTGTAATTTATTAATGTTTTCCATAATTTTGGATTAATTCAAATGACACCATTCTGTGAACAAATGGACGAAAACCAAGAGACTCAGATTCTATTCAATGTCAGGATAGCTAATCATTGAACCATAAAGTCTTCAGTCGTGTAGACTTCGTGCTTTGAACAAATTGAAAATGACCACAAAGTATTCAGAGAGACTGAATATTTCGTGAAAATTACATTTCTGTACATGCAAAATCCTTGCTCGACTGGAGAAAACTACCAACCTTGATAATTTTGTACGTTGGCAAAACTGTTAGTAATTGAGGCAGCAAATTTCTTGAAGTCTCGCTAGGTTTCGCTTCAGTTTGTCCCGCCGATAGCCAGCCATTTTGGTAGTTCTATGTGGCGTTTATAGATTTGATTCTGAAAGAATTATTGATGTGTGTATACTTTGTGTAAAAAATCGTTGCGTGTATTGCGGGAAGTTCAAGTTTCGGATTATTTGGTGGTAGGTTGTCTCAATTTAATGAAAACATGATTTATGTAGATTGATCGATTGTTCTGATGGGTTTGTGAGCATTCATACCTATTGTAGCCGTACTTCACCGTATACCTGAGGTTATGGAGTTGATGTTTCTGGATAGTAAAGTGTAATTTTTACACTTTTTACACTAGTAGATCATAGTGATACAATATAAACTTGTAATTATATCTTCTCTACGAAACATTTTTGAAAGGAAGGTGCTCATGAACTTAATAAAATGAAGTGATATGACAGGAAATTAGTTTAAATGTGTGACCAATAAATATTCTTGTGTGTTCTTGTTTTGATAGGGAGTTGTGTTCTGGTCCTGAAAGTCTACTGTCTATGGTGATGTCTTACCCAGGGCGACCGCCAATGGTTCCTGGGTTACCACCCATGCCACCTACCATGGTGCCTTACATGTCTATAGGAGGTGATTTGTTTGTTCTGAAACGATAGATATAGGTTTTTAATCAACCATGCAATTAATATTTATGTTAATTTTTGATTTGGCTCTTTGAAACATATGTTTAGATAATATGAAGTTACAAATTTAATTTTTTTAAATAAACTGTTAAAGAAATCTGTTTTACAGGACCACCTCCACTAATGCCTACTGTTATGCCAATGCCTCCCCACGTAAGTATAAATGCCATGCAATGTTGATGAATGTTTAAAGTATAATTACCCTACAATGTTGATTGTAGAAAACAATAATATACATTGACTGAGGTCCAATTGAATGATATCAATATATAAACTTCATTATTATCAGATGTTGGCTGGTCCAATGCCTCCTATGCCTGGACCTCCCATGCGTCCTTATCGGCCACATCCACACATGGCACATCACCAAGCTCCTCCAACAAGTACCGCAAATACTACAAACAATGCTGCTAGACCCAATTCATTTAGTAAAAGACAACAGGTTGAACCATCTGGACCACCTGTGACTGTGTTTGTTGGAAACATAACAGAAAGAGCCCCAGATGCAATGATTAGACATATTCTTGCTGCATGTGGACATGTTGTATCTTGGAAAAGAGTTCAAGGTGAGGTTTTTGCTGTAATAAACTCTTTAAATATTTTATTGTTTTGTACAATTTTAATCACTAGAAATGTCTTTCTAGCTTTTGGTTTTTGTGAATTTGGAAACCCAGAGTCAGGCCTGCGTGCAATTAGATTGTTGCATGATATGGAGATTGGAAACAAGAAATTGGTTGTAAAAGTGGATGCCAAAACCAAAACTGTATTAGATGAATATAAAGGTAGGCATACAGAATGTATATTTTAGTATGCTTGGTAACTTGTTTGTAATGTGAAAAATGAAAATGCAACATCACATTAATATTTAACTCTTGTTATATACATTTTTTTAGTTTATAATCTTAAGGTTCAGTGAAAGAGATTACTTAAAGTTAAGGATGGCATTTAGGAAATTAAGGAAGGCAGTTTGCACCTTGTAGTTAAGTGGAAACTCGGTGGTTGGGTCATATGGGGCAACCTTCAATGGTTAGGGGCAGTGTGTATTGTATCTGTTGAACCTTTGTGTGTGTATTGTGTAGTGTTATGGAAATTTTAAATGTGATTATGAAATGTGACGAAACAGTAAGATGTGTGAAATTGGATTTAATAGAAGTGTCGTAGTGGTTGGTTCCCCGAAATGAAAGATATTAGATGTGTATTGCACTGTCAAAGACATTGCCATTTGTTGTGAGAGATGAAGGCTTGAGCCTCGTACTTAATTGGAAAATTGGTAGCAAAGGTTTAACTTGATACTAAAAATAGCAAGGAAAATTGTGTAAAAATAGAGATTATGTATGCATGCCATGTTGTAGATACTCTGCTTGTGCATTAGGGAAAGTTAGTTTATTGAGGGGTGTTACAAATGGCAAGATCCCATCTCCCCACTCCCACCCCATACCCCTTCCTTCTCTTTCCCCATTGACTCTTCTCTAAAGGTGAACTACACTGTAACTAATCCTTAGAAATTACATATATTTTTCACATCACATGTTTGCAATAATATCTGTGATCAAACTACTTCAAACATTGGTAACTTGCACATTCTGTCGAATAGAAAATTGAGAAACTGGAATACTGCAATGTAAAGTAAAGAAAAATTTGATGAGAATTGGTTAGTTACTGCAATAAACAGGTTTTGTTTGTTTAAAGAAGTACGTTGAAGTATATTTTTATTGAAAGTATTGTGAGAAATTGTCATTTAATTATTTTGTATCTGGTTTAGCTGACCGAAGAAGAAAACTTAGAGGACGTTCACCATTACAAGATGAAGTTGTTGACGAAGATGATTATATGGATGAGACCATGAAACAAGCTGACAAGGCAACAATGGATCGCATTATATCAACAATGGAAGACTATGAGACTGACATGAACAATTACGCTGCTCAGGTAGCAAAAGCAGAAAGAGCGAAAACTTGTAAGTTAAAAGAATTATTATTGTAATTGTTTTGTTTTTTTCTCTGTGCTTAGCAATTATTTTCAATGCCATTAATGCAGATAAAAATACAATTATAACAGACTGCACATAACTGTTTCAGCTGCAGAAAATAAAGAGCGTAAAATGTCACGAACACAAGAAAAGTTGATGAAGATGAGTCAGGATGGTGGACATCAAGATGCACCTTTGGTAATACATTTTTTGGCTTGTTTTTTAACACTAGAATAATGGGGGCAGTCTCTTTGACAAGGTTTCTTTGTGCCTACATTTATTGATTTATTTTTGCGATATTTTATGACTTAATATTTGAGGATGTTCTATAAAACACCAAAAAATATAATTCTTTTAGGCATCTTGCTTTTGAGATAATAGCTAATTCTTCATGGTGTACCTTCAACAACAGTCAAAATGGCATTTAAAGCTAGCAGTCAGAATCACTGCTTGTTTCAAATGCGATTGGGACGAAGACAAATGGCACTAGCTCTCATTCTCAAATCTTAATACAGATGCTGGACTGTCCAAGTATTTTATACCATCATTGATTTAGCTGGAATCAATTCCTGGATTTTGTATGAAATGGTCTGATGAAACGATCTGCTGGAGTGCATCACTTGTCGACAGTTGAAAGAAACATTCCATTGACAAAAAGCATTGACAGTGTCAAATAGGATCGTGTAAAAGACTCATCAAAAGATGTTAGTCATTCCCAGGGTGGCCTCCAAGCCAGGGACCCTTGAAAACAAGAGGGGGAACAGACATTTGAAAAAGCCTTGAAGAACCAGGGAAACAACTTGGGATTGGATTTCAATACCAGAATTTTTCACTATTTTCAGATTTATCACAATCTTTTAGCACAAATTCATATACGTCATCATATTCAGTAAAGTGCTTGCAAGTGAATTTCCAATGGAAACTTCATCAGAAATAATTTAAAGCACTAACTATCAAACAACACTGCTAAAGCATTAACTATTGAACAACAAATATACACATCGGAATACGATATTCACACGTCTGAACACATAAGTATCATCATGAACACATACATGAATGTTCATGATGATACTTACTACAAGGGTACAAGAATATTACATTGCGATAATGCTTCCAAAATTTGAAATATAAAAGCCTTGTTTTATGGAGATTCCAAGTTAAAGTACACTGTTCAATAATTTCTCAATCCTAAATTTTACAAAATTATGAAAAACTTGAAGGTCAAATAAAAGGAAAATATATCCAGAAAACTAAAAAGAATATGTTAGAAAGAAGGTAAGGAATAGTGGAGAAGAATATGTTTTTATATAAACAATATTTGCCAGGCAAAGTGCATGTTGACTTCAACCCTTGCAAAAGAGAATGGTGTGCTTTCGCATGTTTTTCAAATGATTAAACAGATGCTGTGATTTGTGATTTTTGTAACCTGGGTAATTATAATACTCAAAATGCATTTTTATGTGAACTAATTAAGTATTTTTCTTGCAAGGAAGTGTACTTAAAGGACAGAACCAAACTTGGCGAAACACAAACAATTGTTTTAACCTTTCAAAAATGTAATGAAATATTAATATTTTTTCTCATTATTTGCGGAAAGTTGCCTTGATATGTATAAAACATTATTCCAGGAAGATTTTACTGAGTTATTTTATGAAAGTTCCAGTAAAACTCTCAGTAAATATCTCAGAACTAGGTCAATGTGAGGTAAACCCATTGTTCTACTGAGCTCTCCATTTTTTTTTCTTCTTTTTTTTTCTTCTTTTTTCCCCCCTCGGATATCTAGAAATTTTACCTAATGAGAATATTTAAATTGAAATTAAAAAATCTGATTTATATTTTTATAAAATTGATTTTTTATATTAAAAGAAAGTAATTTTTATTAATCCTATTTACTTCAGAGCATTTGTTTGTGAACATATGAAAAAGCAATTAAGTTGTTTTCTTGTTTCTACTTGCCCAGCTTGATGTTACTATGTTAATGCTTTCAATTAACAAGAGGAGAAAATATATTAATGATCATGGTTTTCATATTAATTGTGTTTATTAGAGATCACTGTTATAGCCTAAATCCATGAATTCATTAAATTATTGGATACAGCCATAAATTATGTCCTGTTAGTCAGGAAGTTCAAAAACATTTAAACATTTTAATACTAAATAATAATAATAATTACAATAATAACAACAATAATTATGGCTTTATTGATATGGCAAAGCTCAGGTCGTCAGGCCTGCTCTTCCACCAAAACCGTATACTACGTCTACAGTTATCCTGTAAATTCGTGAAGCGCACAGTCATGTTGGTAGGGGGATACCCATTTTGAACCAATATTTCTACTTGCATGTTGGAATCTAATGTTATTTATGGTATGACCGACATTTCCCCCAAACCAGGGTTGACATCGGTCCTGAGATTGGCTTTCTGGCTGAAAAAATACTTTCTGAACATTTCAAATGGAGTCTGAATATGGATTTGTTACATTTGTTCCCTGTAAATACAAAAACACTTCTAGTTTTCTTTCAATGTGGTTTTTGTAGAAAATTCTGTACTCAGTACTGGATTGCATGAGAAAAGTGTGGGAGAAACAGAATATGGTTTGGTGATAAATAGAAAACAACACATCGTAACGTAACCTAGAAAATGTATATTCTCATACCTGAAATACCGGGAAAAAGCCTTGAATTCCAAAAAGCCAGATTGCAGGCCACCCTGATTACCCTAAGACTAGAATTCTAACAAAGGTCTCTCAAAAAAAATTGACAAATATTTGAACTGGCTGTTTTGGCTGCTCGTCGTCTCTAGTAGAATAGAATTGCCATCTTTCTAGTGTTAAGAAAACACTTCTTTAATTTTTACAATATCATAGAGTGCATGTTATCAGATTAATTGAATTAAATGTAAAGCAATTAGGATTGTCTTAGCATCAGAAGTGCAAATGGCTGATATTTCATGAAGAAGCCAGTAATGAATCTTGTAACAAACTATGGATCAGCCATATAAAATGAAAAAAATGAGAGTAAAAAAAGTAAAGTAATGTGACATTTAATTTGCTTAAGAAATTTAATGCCATCATTATACTTCAAACTCAGAATTGATGTAAAACAAATATTCAGGGAAGTTTATGAGTTTGCTGCTATGTTGGCATTTAAAACACTTGAATTTGTGCTAGACTGTCAAGAGTGTGCACTGGCAAGCTCATTTGAACTGATGTCCTGAGCAGTGTGAAAACAATAAAAACTAAGAATTTGTAAGGCTATAAAGTACAATTATCAAAAAAATTATCAGTATACTTACACCAATATTTCATTTGTTTCATATCATTCTGCAACATTGTTAGGTAAGGGGATTGGCAATTGGAAAAAAGCTACGACTTCACTGGTATCTTTAACAAAAGAGCTAAGTTCAGCTTTAACTTTGATCTGCGGGTATTATAATCTCTTACATCTGAGGAGAAAGATGTGTTATCAGATTTTGAACCTCAAATACCATTATGTCAAGTGACTGATGTACCATAATTTCTAGAATTTTTAATTTCATTCATAATGTTGAAAAAGAATCCTCTATTGTCTTGATCAATATAAGGCATCTTCATTTTCAGAAATATTGAATTTTACTCTTATAGGAAAGCATGTATTGCCATCATGACAATGTCTTTCAGCTTGATCCCTAATTTAAGACTGTAGGTTTTGAATAAACTATGTATTTGAAAGTTTCTTCGATTTTAACTACAACTGGGGCTGTCTTCTTAACAAGTAGCTATAGAGATTTGCAGTTTGGGTGTGTTCAGTGACAGGGATGCTTCTTCAAAGACTGGGAATTTACATCCCATTTTCAAGATCTTAAATGGTCTGTCTTGCCTTGCTTCTTGAATGGCAGCACTGCCGTGATTTAGAACATGAGTGTCAAATATGAAGATACAAATAATTTTTACACATTTCAACAAAGTACTTGTTGAGGCTGAAGGTTTTTTTTTCTGGAGTCACATTACCACTTCTTGTTTCATACGATTTGCCGCTCGCATCCTTTTTATGTATTAAAAGCTGTTTAGTGCCTACGTTTCCTGATTAATTGTGAAATGCAATTATTGCACTATCAATATTCCCCACAAAATAAGTAAATAAAAAAAACTACACCCTCCAAGACACAATTGAACCACATAAATGCAAGAACAAAAAGATGTTGCTGCAAGGCACATAGCTCTTTTAGAAAATCAAGTTAGTCTTAACATACAACCAGAGCCATCACTAAGTAGGTGTTACAACTACTTGGAAGATGTTTGGAACATTGTTCCTTTTTAACAGTGTACTATGACCAATTTATATAATATTTAGCTGTCAAGATCTTCATTTTTAAAATTTTGGTTCTTGGCTCCTTTGGCTTTGAAAGGCCTCATTTATTTCACAGTGTTTGCTAACTTGTGCTTGAGCCAATTTATTCCCTATTTCTCTTGTCATTTTGCCAACTGGAGAATATTCACATGCTATCAATGCGTTTAAGAAGCTAGAATACAAGAAAAGTACACTTTGAAATTTTATTTGCAAGTTTAAGTAAAGCAAGATTAAAGAAAGTAATGTGAACTCTTGAAAATTGTATTTGTGGCCTCTGTTTGATAATGTAGTTCATACACGTGCATATCCTTATCTGCTTTTCGCCATGATTTGTGTCTATTCTTATGACATTCTTTTGAGTGATATTAAAACAATGTAAATTACTTGAGAAAACAATCCGTAACCTCCAACTATTGTTTATCCAATGAGAGAATGAAGTGGATGTAAACAAACCTAAGTGAACCTTGCTGCTAAAGCATGTCGTGTGGGCCCACTGAACTATCATCTTACCAGCTGTCAATCAGGGATTGTCAACACTCCTGTGTCAGTGACATCGTAGTACTCGTATGAATAATAATGCATTCATTCAGCATGTTATTTTGAAAGGTTAAGGAATTTATTGTTGATAAGGTGATTCAAGATATATGCACACCACAAAAACCTGAACGTGAACTTGTCTTGTCTTGTCTTGTCTTGTCTTGTCTTGTCTTGCATATAATATGCTGATTTTATTTTCTCGCTTTTTGAAAAAAGAAAAAGTTATGTAATCGTGCAACAAAAAAAAATCTCATATTCCTGGGCTTTGGAATTGATATTCAGCAATCGATATGAACCAACTCAAGACTTCAGGAGTTCCAAACAAATATTTTGATTTTTGAGAGTACGTACGTTACATGAAGCTTGAAAAAATTTTCTCAAAAGTGGCACCAAACTTTTTGATTTTACATTGATCTCTGATAGTGTAAGGGATGGTTAAAACAATGATGCAGGTCTCAAATTGATTAAAATCCCAGGTTTTTAAAAAATTTACAAAAGTGCAATTTTTTGGGGGTACCTTCCTACAACTGTAATATTGAAGATAACTTTTTCCGTAATGAAATCTGTTCTCTATTTCTTTATCATGAAATAAGGTCATGTTCATTTTTTTCAATATGATATATTATAGACAATAATATTAAGGGGTCGATGGAGCCACAATTCTTTGAAAAGGGGGTAATGAATAAAAAAGGTTGGGAATAGCTGATGGAAATGGTATTGTATAATAAGGGAAGTTTTATAGATAAACATGTTTTTATTCTTCATCATCATCATCATGGACTGACTAGAAATTTGGCTTTACATCCTGTTTCTTTTTGGTATATTCCAGCATTCTTGGTGGATTATTAATCCACCAAGTGTTTAAGAAGCCAAGTGTTTCTGCTGTGGCCACCTCTTTAGTGGTCTTGACTCTATCTCTGATCCCTATTGGTTTGTACTTCCAGATTAATTTTGGAAATCTCTTGTTGTTCATTCTTTGTGAATGATCTTTCCATTTCTTTTGAGACTGTCCAATCTCTTCTACTAAGCATTTAGTTTTCAATTTCTTTCTAATGTCTATTTCTCAGTCTCTCTTGTGATTCCCGGGAAGTGTCTCGTATTCCTGTGAAGAAATCTCATATGTGCTGCTCATACATTTTTATTCAAAATTTATTAAAAGCTCTCAAGGATTGTTGCCCCCAATTTGTTAGTAATGAAAACCATAAAATATTGATGAAAATAAAAACTTTTCTGATTGCAGCTTCTAGATGATGTGGATATAGAAGAGGGAAAACGTGACCTCATCACACGAGAAATTGGAAAATTTCGAGAGATCATGAAGGTAATTCAAATTTAAGTTTGCATTTGCAGTATTCTTGGTTTCTGCTGTAGCATTACATGTCACTACTAGACTAAAAGATTAATAAGTTACTAGTGCTGTTCTTTATTTACCTCTCTGAGAAATAGTTTTTTTTCAAAACTTGAAACAAAAATCTGAAATGTGCAATCATTATAGGTTCTGAAGTAGCAGAATTTGCCCTTTGGAATGCTAGTTTCACTAAGGCTGTGTTGGTAACTCCCAGATACCTATCAGAATCGGTCTCTATTGTTGACAGTTTAAGATGTCATGTATTTTAAATAGTTAGTGGGTATAAAATACTGTCAGGAGACATTTACTGATTAATATCTCAGAATAATTTAATTTCCAAATTTTGTTGTGTTCTTTCTTGGGTCACAGGTCTACAAATATAGAGTGAACTTGAACATAATATATGCAAGTTTCTTCCTGTATCTGAAAACTGAAATTTATTTGTTATATATTGACAGTAGGGTAGACGTTAGTGAATTTTCTTATAGGAATAACAAATGGTAGGAAGTACACACCTACTCCGGTAATTTTACAAATTTTATTTTCAATTGAACATTGGTGAATGTAGCCCAATTGATACCGCTTTTGCAATGTCATCACTCCCACAGAATGAGAATAATTATTTTTCTTCATTCAATTCAGTTGTGAGACATGTGTGTGCTTCCTAGACAGTAGGCTGCCAAGATTTGGTGGCATGTGAGTATGAGAGAGAGAGAATGTGTGTGATGTAGTTAGGTCAGAGAGGTGCAGTTGACATGACGTGTGGTATACTTCCTCACTCAAACCTAGGCAGCCCGGCGGGGATGTCAAGGAGTCACATAGTTGCAGGCCGTTTGGTTGCCTTGTTTAGTGTGCGCAAGCGTTGGGTGGTGAGTATGGCCCTGTGCTGCAACAGGCATTTTGCTCCAGTTTCTGAGAGCAGTCTGCTAGCACGCACGTAGGTCTTCACTTAAGCACTTGTCAATTCTGAACTTCAAATAAAATGACTGGTAATATTTCAATTTTGTTTGTTTGCTTTTCGTTTTTCTTCTTCATAAGAATAAAATGTGCAAGCAGGCTGCTTCTCTTGTGCTTTGCTACCGCAAGGAAGTTAATTCTCTCTACTAACGGAACTAGTGCTCCGATGTTGATTGTAGATTTGGGTTTAGCAGCAGGCAGGTTCTATATTGAGGGATTATTAAACATGCTATACTATTAGCTGTTACATTGAGTGAGTTGGTGTATGTTGATTTAATGATATAGAATACATGCTATTCATTTTTTGTGTACTTTAGTTCCATTCTTCATTTACTGTCATTTTCTTTCATACCTTTGAAATATTTAGGTATGTACGAAGTTTGGGAATATGTAAAGGTTTTTGAAATCCAAGTACACAATTTGACCCTTTCTCATTAGTACTATTTGTGTAAGGGTGAGTGTTGAAGCAGATGTTTTGGGAACAATGGGAATATTCATATGTGAAGAATTTGCCTGCTATAAATGTTTTGCATGAATTTTTTTCCATAAATTTGTGGATGGGGACGAATTTTATGAAGATCAATCAGTTGCAGTATAGCACGTATTAAAATTCATCTCTTGGCCATCAGTACTGTTGGCAAAGGGTTTTGTTGTTTTTGTAAGCCCTATTTCTCAAAGTAATGAATAAGTTTGTGAAGGAATTTGCTATTAATTTTTTTTCCTTGGAAGTAATCAAAAGTCATTGATAATTGACTTGTGTACTATTGATAAGTCATTTAATACCACTGTCCATTATCAACTTCCCTTTTTTTTGTTGTTGTTCATTTACAATCATTTATATTTATATTGTTTTACTTTCTCATACACATAATTCAGAGGAAGTATTTAATTTGTTCTAATGCAGATGAAGCTTATCTAGGATGTGCATGTGTTGTGGGCTTACTTTAACAGATTTCCCTGAAGCCATCCAAAGTGCTGTTTTTATATGACGTGTAAAAGCTTGGTTTCACTGTATTCGACCCTCCAGCAAGCTCATCAGCGCCACAAGCAACACGACCATGTGTTTGCTTGCTCACTAGACTTCTGTGTGCAGTGCCACAGCGGCTGCTTCCGCAGGTAGGATTTTGCCAACGTTCTCTTCATGTCGACTCACTTTGTTGTATTTTGGCCTCTCGAATCGAGTCTTGTTTAGATGTCGTGGTCTGCTGCTGGTGAGGTAATAAATCGACATTCCCAGTGAGACTTGTGGAATTTCTAAGCAAAGGTAGACAATATACAAGTGGACAGGTCACATAAAGAGGTGAAGTTACTACTTTTAGAAATTAAGCAGCAAATCATGTGTGTGCTGTTTCTTTTCACTTTTGTGAGCATGTACAGTCTCCATCTTTGTTTGTCATGATGTTTTTGATAATGAAATGTAAGTACAAAATAGACATTCTTTCACTTATTAATAAGGTTTTTTGCTGATTGAAATTTTTGTGTATTATTGTTTCAGTCTTTTTTTGCATTGTATGGGGCAATTATTGTATGGAAGTAGTTTTTTTTTTTGCACAAGCATTTACATGTTTTCTTGTACGAGACTTTGATTTGGGAGTTTCTAGGTTTCTTGATTTATTGTAATAAATTGGAAAACCTTACATAAAATGTTTTTAGATGTCATTGTAAAACTGTATGAATAATGAAACTTCCACATTTTTAGTTTATTCTATTTTGCTTTATTAATATCTGAATTCTATTGGATTTAAACCTTAAAGGTTGAATTGTAAGAGAATTATTTTAATATCCCATTCTAAAGTTTAATCAGATGCAATAGAGAAATTGTTATAATTTACTAGCATACTGGCACTTCATTTTATGCTTTAACATGTTAACTGAATGGTATGTATGCACATGTTTTCAATGGATTGGAATTCAGAAGTAAGTAATTTCATAAGAATTGGCATTTGCTCGCAATATTATCTTGTATATCAACTAATCTAGAAGAATGTGGTGGAAGAATCTGCCAGTATGTTACGTAGAACTCTGAATTTCATGTAATCTGATGATGCAGCATGTGGTATGTGGATATGATATCAGCTGCATAGCTGCATCTCTTCCTTGAATGTGTAGTAGATGCCTTTTGTAAGTAATTTTTTTAAGTTATTGAAGATTGATCTCAGTTTTTTATTCACGGAAATAACTGGTATAATTCAAAACATTGTTATTCATTGAAAATTCTATTTGGTACCATTGTAATGTACCATATGCACCTCTACTCATTTGTAGTTCGAACTTCCAGACTTTAACTTTGCATGTCAGCTGTAATGTAAATAACACTGAGTCACAAACATGTATCTGCTACTGATTTAGTCACTAACATCCATTAGAAGACAATCTGCGATGTTGCAGTGTGCTATCATGGAACTACATCTGCTGAGGATTGAGAAGCTGTTTAACTTATTCATCATGGAATGCGAGGTTATAATGTGAGTTTCACACAGAATCCTTTTTAAAACGTGGAATGTTCTGTTTACCAGAACGTGGCTTGATCAGAGGCTACTGTGGCTGCTGTGTTTTTGATAACCAGCAATCTGGTGACCTCTTTCTTACCAATCTTAATGCTTGGTATATTGCTTCTTATCCAAGGGACATTGATTCATTGTGAAAATATGAATTCAGTGTTTCATTGTACCTTGGTTTCTGCATTCTGCTTGGAATTGTGGCTTCACAAAAGCCAATGGACATGCTATAAAAACAAAAACCGTTGCAGAAGATTCAATGATATAACAGAAAACATCAAAGAAGAGCTGAACTACAACAATATACTCAAACTCAAGAAATGACAAAATGAAATAATTGGAAAGTCCAAAATGTATGTAGATTTACCAGCTGATTTACCAGATTTTTTTTGACATCCCTCTATTAGACTGATACACATGTAATCAGTGTGCTGCCATTTAGCACTGTGTAGATGTGGAAATGCCATGTGCAGTGTGCGTCTCTTATCGTATGTTGCACAGGGCTTACCCTTCAAATGAATGGATATTGTATTTCTCCTTTTTTTCTGTAAGGTTGTTTCTAATCCTTCCACTAAAATACAGGTATAAAAGGTCTGCTCAAGGTATTGTCATGTTAAAATGCATGTCAGCCTTAGTTTCTTCAATGTAGTCTAGAGTGTCATGATATATTGTGAATGTTAGTTTTCCAAATTCATATAAGAAAAGAGTAGTACAAGTACTTGTATTTGAATGGAAGGAATTTCGGTGTGTAGCTAAATAAACTGCAGAAAGATGCCGATGGCATATTATTGCTCATTGAATTACCTTGTAAATGCTTTATCTACCTGAAAGCATGAACGAGTATAGATTTTGTTTGGCAAATGCTGTGTGATTTTTAAGTTTAGATATTTTGCAATTTTTTTGTTTCAAAAATTGAAATATCAATTAGCCATTTCTCCATACTCGTTCATGAACATAGAGAAAAAAGAAGAAGAAGTTGCGTAGTGAATTGGTGTTTGAATTTGGCTTGCATGTGATATTTACCCTTAATGAACTTTGTGGCCAAGATTGGAGATGTGCTGTTACACAACATGCTGCTGACTGCAAGTGATGTGTGTGAGGAAAAATTAATTGAATAATTTAAGTTGTTTGGATAGTTTCTTATGCATGTGTTTGTGTGATTTTATCCCTACAGAAACAAGAGGAGGAAAAGGAGGTTGAAAGGAGACGTCGTGAGCAGCAAGACCGTGAAGAGCGTGATAGACGAGAGAGGCGAGCAGCAGAAGGAGCTAGTACAGGACAGTCAACTGCGAGATCCAGACGATCACGGACGCGCAGTCGTTCAAGATCGCCTCATTCAAGAGATCAATCACGTTCCGCATCTCCTGATGGATCATCTTATTCAAACAAAACACGAGGCAAATCTCGGGATCAACGGCGGCGATCACATTCTCGGTATAGTCGATTTCACACATTATTTTCATCTTACTTTTTAATTGATGGTATATAATAAGAAAGTTTTAATGCATAAATCAAAGAATTTTCTAATTTGTAAGTATAAAAGAATTCTAAAATGTCCCAATTCTTGAGTTAATAAATATTAACAGTTGATTAAAATATTGATTTGAATATTAACTTCTTTGTTTTGAATATTCAGGGAGAGGGAAAGAGAGCGAGAGAGGGAACGAGAACGTGAACGTGAACGTGAGAGAGAAAGAGAAAGGGAGAGGGAAAGAGAGAGAGAAAGGGAGAGAGAAAGGGAAAGAGAGAGAGAAGATCAACAACGGAAATCAGAACGTGATCTGGCTCGAGAACGAGAGGAAGAGGAGGAAGCAAAGGAACGTAAAAAGATGGATCGTCGTGCACGAGAGAAAGAAGCTGCTTATCAAGTACGTATAGTGTTTACTAGTATGATATACACCCTCATATTTCTTAAAGATTGTTAATTTTGTCATTATTTAAGAATTAAATAACGTTGTTTATCTTTTAACCCCTTTTAAGAACTAAACCATTTCTGTTGATTTTTGAGAAAAGAATGTTATCTGGGTTGTAAAGTAAGATTTTTATGTTAATGAATAGAGGGTGTTGCTGTAATTATGTACAGGTTTGAAATACATTATGAGAACTAAGCATGTCATAGAAAGAATGTTTCCATTAAAAATTGTTTAGGGATTTTGGAAAATATTAAGTTTTTCTAATAAGAAATGTTCTGCAAAATTTTCATTCCAAGCAATTGTTTCAGAGCAAAATAATTTCTATCCATTAACAGTTTCTGCCTCCATTATGTTGAAATAAACTGTTCTGATGACAATTTTGAATATCATGTTTTTGCTTTGTTACTGAACACTAAAATTGCAATTGTATAAATATAAATGTTATTCATTTAACTTTCTTTCATTTATTCTTTCTTTTTTTTATTCTTTTTCGTTTTTGTTTCCTTCCTTTCTTTCTTTCCAAAACTTTCAAAAGTACCATGGGATAGATAGTTTATAGACACAGCATTGCAAGACATTTATCACAGCAAAACGAATGCTACAAACATTGTCACTGTTGACGAGGATCTTATATGGAGAATCAATAACATTGTGACCCTGGGAATATACCTAGTCTAACTCTCAGGATTCCATGTTTTTAGGAACGCCTTCGTAACTGGGAGAGTCGGGAACGTCGAAAAGCCAAGGAAAGAGAAAAGGAAAAGGAGAGGGAGAGATTGAAGGAGGAAGAACGAGAAAGAGAAGCAAAAAGACTAAAGGAATTTTTGGAGGATTATGATGATGAAAGGGATGATCTCAAATATTACAAGTAAGCATTCTGTAGTTGTAATTCATTAATATTTTGTATTCTTACTAATTTTATTAAGGCCTCATTTAAACAATGTGAATAACACGTGACTTCCTTGCAGAGGAAGAGAGCTTCAGCGGCGTTTAGCAGAGCGTGAAAAAGAGATTGAATTAGATGGTCGTGATCGCCAGCGCGAACGTGAAGAACTGGAAGAGCTCAAAGCAAAGATTTTTGCTGAGGAACACGATGATCCAACTGCAGAATTTGAACGGGTATTTATAATGTTTCGTTGTGCATGTGGGCATAGGATGTATCAGTGCTGGAAAAAGTAACTGTCAGTGAATGTACACTACTTTCAGGATCAAATTAGTCATTCTTTACTTTACTTTATTTCATGAACAATAAAATTCAAAGATAAAGCACAAATACATTATTAAAAATACAGTAAAACTTCACTTATACATTTTCCAGGGGACCAAAGGGAAAGAATGAATAAGTAAGAAAAGTGCGTAACTGAAATTGAATATTAAAAACAAACCAAAAACTCAATATTTTTACATTTACTGGCTCCTCCCTGGAACCTGCACACAGGAACTGCTACCCTGTTACTTTTGATTTATTTAGTCAAAGAAGAGTACAAGCTGTATGTGATGTAAGGGGGAGAAGTACTATTTGTGCACATTTTCATGGTTTTCTTGAGCTCCAGAATCTCTTCCCGACGGTTTTAGTATAAGTAGTTCAATGATGAATAAAAGAACCAAAAAAAGCAAAGTTAGCAACTTTTGTAAATTAGACATTTTTACTCCTGTGTTACAGAAAACTTAATTGAATCGGGAAACAAATTGCAGATTTTATTTATTTATTGTATTGCTAACAAATTAGCAAGACGCCTCAACATTTGCTCAATGGATCAGAGAAACTGGACAAAAACCTGATAGAGACCAAAAGCTGACGTGCATTACTTGTTACTTAGAATACACGTGAGCCAGCATGTGCTGCAGGCCTAAATATCATTATAAATCTGTGATTCCCTCAAGTTTCAATATTTCCTTTCAATGCACTGGATTTTTATCGTTCAATATTGGAGAACATTATGCAAAGCCTCTCTGGACAGCACTAGTGCCCCAGTTTTTTCATTGTGTATTGCAAAATTGAAAAATAGACTTGAAACCAATTGATATGCCCTGCGAACAACAAAATGAAACAATCTGAATACTAAATTCAACACAAAAATTCCTTGGGCTCCTCTAAAATAACATAAACATTCTCACTTGTTGATCACCAATGTCGTTATCATTTGGGCATTATATGGTCTTAAAGGGACTTTCATTACGAACATCTAAATTTAAAATGCATATCTGAAATAATTTAGCATAGGAAGTATAGGAATGTATCTGAGACTTGCAAAATGTATCAATGGAGTTTCACTGTATTTTTTATGCCCGAGCATCATAAAGGATGGGGCTTCTCCCTGTATTAAAAAATGATTATTTCAAAATTACTTCAAACATTTTTTATCTATATTTATTTGATTCTTGTGTAATTTTGTTTTAATTATGAAGAAGGGAAACGAGAAGAAAGAAAGGAGAGGGGGGGGGGTTACAAGTTAAAATTGGCAAAAAATATAGTTATGTTTCAAGTGTAAATATTAATACAGCATTACAGATTGCCTGGGCTCCTGTGCAAGATTGCTAAATAAAAAATATAGACATAATTTGCTTTCAAATCTGAGATGTGGTTTCAAATTAGTGAGTGATTAAAGAAATAATTTTTGTTAATTGTTTGTTGTTGTGTTTGATCAGATGAAGCAGCAAAGAGAAGAAATGTATAAACCTAAAATTCTCATTAACGTGGGAGCTGAAATGGAAAGTGGAAGGCATAGGACTGTACGTGAAAAAGAACAGGAAGTGCATATCATAGAACCTGATCCATCTGAAGAAGAGCAACCTGTGATAATTAGTGCTAATATTAGGGAACCAAGTCAACCACCTCTTGATCCATCATCACCACCTCCCCAAGAACCAGAACACAGTCAAGAGAGTGACGATGATGATGATGATCATCGGGATGCTGACGATGATGCAAATAGTTTCTCAGGTAGTCCAGCTCCTGTGCAGATTCCTCCTGCTGAAGTTCCAGAAGAAGACACTCAGATGTCTGCTACATCCAGTGGACTGGATGACAGAATTGGTAAGACACATCTGGCTTAATTAAAGATCAGTCTTTTGTGGCCCTAATGAGTATTGAGTACTATTATTATTATTATTATTATTATTATTATTATTATTATTATTATTATTATTATTTAATATTATCTCATGTATTTGTTATATATATTATTATTGTTTTTGTTGTAGTAATAGTAGTAGTAGTAGTAGTAACAGCAGCAACTTTTCATGATATTTGAAACTGCTGTAGTATTTTGTTTTTGCATCAGTGTGACTCATGATCATTGTGATTTAATTATGGTATTTTAGGTGGTTCAAAGGCATGGAGTTCTCCTGCTCAATTAACTCCCCAGCTGTCTGTTCCTTCTACTCCAGCAAATCAACAAAACTCCACAGCACCATTGGCAAATGCCAATGCAACAACTACATCAGATGCTACATCCATCTCAGGTGCATCAGTTACCTCCACATCAGGCACAACTGGCCCTGCAGGAACTGCATCAGGTGTTACACCAACAAAGAAGAAAAAATTAGATGTTAAGGAAGTATTCAATACTGATGATGATGATGACAGCAATTTAGGTCCTGGTAAAAGAAGAAAGCTTGTGCCCCTTGGTAAGATTCATTTAAAGAATTCGTAATTCAGAACATAGGAGAATGATTTAAAACATTCACAATGATTGTAGGGTAGTTGTTAGATTGCATTTAATCTTAGGTTTTAAAAAATATTGTTAATATTTGACTGTAAGAGAACCGGTCTGTAAACATAAAACATCAAGCAAGTCACAAAATTCAGTGAAATTTGGAACTTTTATGTATGTGTGTGTGTGCAGATTATGGAGAAGATAAAAAGAAAAAAGAAGAAAAGAAGGAAGAAGTAACAAAATCACAGGAGGAGAAACGAAAGCACATCAAAACATTAATTGATAAAATACCTACTGATAAAACGGCCCTATTTGCATTCCAGCTGGATTGGTCAGCTGTTGATAACGTAAGTGATTCATTTATATTAACTGTAAGGTGAATGGATCTTTTTCACCAATGTTACTGTGATTTCCATTCACCACACTGTTCTTTTGAATCTTTGGTTCACAAATAAAACAAATTCAGTTGGACCTCCATATATTGAAATTCCTATAAATCAATTTTTTTTCTGTTCCTTTGAAATTCCATTTAAAAGTGTTTCTATATATCAAATTTTTATATATTATGTTTTTAAAAAAATAGTATTATTTAATCTGTAAGGACAATATTACTACTGCGTACAGTAAAAATTCCTCCTGGATGTTATTATAATTGAATTAATGTTTATAATACATCCAGTTCCCAGCTTTCTCATACTCACTCCTGCTTTCTGTCTCCGTGGGAACTTGTCAATCGAGCAAATGCATACGCCAGAGCGATGTGAAGGTCAGTTGCTTGCCCCTTCTTCTAATGGGCCTGCCCTATGTTAGTTTGTCAGTTCAATGCTGATTACTTTGCTGTTATGCTCTTAAGTGTGTTTGGGGTGGGGGAATCCTAGTGGCACTAAAGTATAGAATACCTGCTTGTTATTGCAAAAATCTTGACGCTGTGGGGGATAGGAAAACTTCTCTATAATGGAGATTCGGTATAACAATTATTATTGAAGGAACAATCAGATCGATAAATGTAGGTTCAACAGTAATGTTAAAATGTGTTTTTATTTTGTGGTAACCAGCGTTACATTGAATAGAAACTGTAACAAATCATTGGTTATAAATAATTTACTTAAGTATTACAACTAAAATATTTAGTGCAAAAATCAATCACAAAGTGAGGTATCACCTGAAATGATTTGTAGAAATCCTAACACTCTTCTGCACAGATTTCATTTTCATGCATTATTACATTATGACAATGTTTACATACAAAGTGAGAATATACATTATACTTCTTCAGTCTGTTAGTTTTACATTTCTTCACAATGTTTGCAAAATATACTCTTGGATTTTTTTCTCCTCCAGGTGTTTATTCGACCTAAACCAGACAATGTTTTAAAAATAGCGTAAATGGGCCCTCGACTGGGAACAGAATTTACCAGTGTGCTCACTTCAGAGTTTAAATTTTTGAAAGGTTCAGCACTTTCTTTTTATTAACCTCCGTCATCAATGCCTATTTTGCATCAATGCATATTTTGAGAATATGGCCTCAGATAGTTCATGTCTTACCAACTTGATATTTATTAGACTAAATGGAAATTACCATTTTTTAAGGTATCAGGTGTAGTAAATCTTCTTACAGCTGTTACAAGATCAATTAAGTGTACACTAAAATATCAGTATAATGAAATTATGGGAACAGCAGAAATTTATTTTTTATAATAATATTTTTACAAATATAACTATTAAAATAGTCTATTGCACTATAAGCATTACTTCAAACTTGAATTTACAAATAAAACTTAATATTTATTAGATGAGAACATGAAATAATTACTAAAAATAAGTATTGTTTAGCCTATCTGAGACGAGCTGTGTCTCTGTTGTGGTGGCTGATATTTCAGCCAACATACTGTGGCCTACCTCAGCTCATTGCTTGGCATACAACATTACACTGTGAGGAAGGCCACAATATGTTGGCTGAAATATCATCCACTACGACAGACACCCATGCTCGTCCCGAATGGCCTAGACAGTACAAACTCTGGCCACGGGAGCATAAGCAGTCAATTACATACTGTAATTGCAAAAGGTTTATATTTTTCTACTATTCTGTTAATTCTAATTTTCAAACTTGGTTTTGTAATCTATATTTTAAAAAATATCTGGTAGTTTCTATCAAAATGATAAGATACGAAATCAAACAATATAATTCAGATACAAAATTGGTTCTTTGTTTCATTTGAACTTTGCTCTCATGCCCAAAACTTCATTTCTTCCAATATTGGAAAAAAACACAGTTCAATCATGTGTGGAAAATGACTTCAGTAGATTGTTCTTAGTAATAATATAATAGAAGGAAAGCATTGGATGAAACTGGATGAATATAAATTATAGTTTGAAAAAGTAAAGTTCAAAGGTGAATTTTTTCTTGTAATGAAAGTTAAAATTTGGTATGTGAAGTAGTTTTATATATAAAATGTGGGAAACTGAAAATAATTCTGTATAACTGAAATTTTAATTGCATCTGTATTCACTAGAAAAACATTTCATTGCATACAGTTATTAGTTAAAAAACTATTTTCCTATGAGACATATTTCTTTTGTTATTGTGCATCCAAATGAAACCAAGAAACGCTTAAAAGTTGCTGGAAAAATTCCTGGCATGTATTTAAATCTTTCCAAATTGATATCATATTACTCATGGGAATCAGGTTTTGTGGTAATATAATATAAATATCAAGCATATTACTTGCTGAAGTTATGTAATATGGATAAACTTTAAGATATTTAAATAATCAATATTTTCTCTTGTTTAGCAATTAATGGAAAGGCGAATACGTCCCTGGATAAACAAGAAGATAATAGAATATATAGGTGAACCAGAACCCACTCTAGTAGACTTCATCTGTTCCAAGGTGTTAGCTGGAAGTGCTCCTCAAGGCATTTTAGATGATGTACAGATGGTAGGTTACTTACTATCAAACTAGCACTCTTCAGGTCTTTTTGGCCCAGTGACTAAAACAAGCACATGAGTTATTTGCCACTTGTTTGCACACTTATCTTTCATAATGAAAATAGATGTCAATTAATTTAAAATTGCTTGTTAATTTGTGTTTTCTTTTTACCAAGACCTAATATAGTTTATGTGTGTTGGGGTGTAGTAAAGCTAGCACACGCTGGTTTTCTATAAAGAGAACTTTGACATTTTGGTATTTACTTCTAGTGTTGTTTCTTCAAGCATCAATCCCAATATATCTCGTGCACGGTAGCAAGCCAGCACTCGCTTATTTTCTTTTTCCCATATACGTACGAATATACAGAGTAATATATGTAGTATAGCGAAAGCTGTGTAATGCTGTGGAAAATTGCTTTCAAGATTTCAACGAAAATACATGTTTTGGGGTTCCCTGGTACCGAGAAAGTGGTTCTTTTTAAAACGTGTCTGTCTGTCTGTTGAACAACACTAGCACGTAAACCATGCATAGGATTCTTTCCAAATTGAAGAAACCCTTTCCATCTGGCTTGAGTTGATGCTTTGATTTTTTTAAAAATATTCTTTATAATTTGGGGTACCTCATATGAAGACTTGGGCCATTTTCAAAATTTTCTCAAAAATGGCTTCAAATTTTTTCTTTAAATTTCTTGTAAGAATAGAGTGAAATACACACATAAAAGTGTCTTAGGTCCAATTATCACTGTTAACATTAAATTTTAAAAAATTTAAAAAATTTGAATTTTTTTCAGTCTTCTTACTACTACATATTTGAAGAGAGATTTTTCCTTCAGATTAAATTTCTTGTCCATAATTGGTTCCTTCATTTAGGTTATGTACAGTTTTTTGAAAATTTTAATAGTTTCTGCGCAATATGTGCAATTTTAAAAACTTCACAAAAGATGATTTTCTCTCTCTCTCTCTCTTTTTGAACTTTTGGCAGGGATAGTGCTAAGTGACTCTACTTGACTCTATATGCACATTTCCATCCATTTGTAGACAGTATTGTATTTGTGTTATTGTGTTTACAATGACTTTTGATGAAATTTTTCAAAAACTCAAATTTTCTTAGGAAGAGCTTCAAATTTTGAATTTACTGTGGTGCTTAAATGTCATTTTCTTAAAACGGCTCCAAATTATTCAACAATTGCCACATAGGACAATGTTTTACTTTTCTTTAATATTCTTAAAAATATTTCTGTTCTACTTTTGAAGAAAACGAAAAAAAATTTAAGAAATGTTCTTGAGGCGGCAATAGATGGCAGCTGGCAAGAATATGTGGCATGTGATATAGCTAGCCAAGACCAAAGAAAATAAAAAACTAATAAGGGAAAGTCTGTGCCATTCTGTCGCACCTTTAGTTTTATAATGAAAATGTTATTGTACCTGGTACTAGGCCTGGTGTTGTTTGTGAATAAACCTTCTAATATTGTGAAACGTTTATTAACTATTTGTGCTGCAGAATGGCATAGGCTTTCTTTTATTAGTTTTATATTTTCTTTGGTCTTGCCACATACTCTTGCCAGCTGCTATCTATCACCGCCTACAGTACGTTTTTTAAAAAATTTCCTCAATTTTTCAGTTTCCTAATAGTAAAATAAAATTATTACTTTAAATATATTAAAGAATAGTAAAAGCTTGTCCTTCATGGCAATTTTCAATGAAAAATTTTGAGCCGTTTTTAAGGAAATGGCGATTAAGTGTTACTGTAAATGAAAAATTTGAAGCTCTTTTTCACACAAAACTACTGAGATTTTGAAAAACTTCATTGGAAGCCATTTCAAGCACTTCTGCTCAAAAATGCAATAGTGTTAACAAATCGCTGGGAAAATGCTTATTACCGGTGTGAGATATGTCAAAAAAATTACATTTATGTAGTTTTTGAAAAAAACGGAGAATTCACCAAAATTAACTTTGTCAAAATAAATAGTGCAATTAGCACCATCAGTTGCAAAAGTATGAACCAAAAATTTGGAGCCGTTTTTGGGAAAAAGGCTTTTGTGCGTTTCTGAAAATGCAGAATTTTGAGCTCATTTTCACAGAAAACTGTTTAGATTTTGAGAATTTTTATGACATTATTTATAACACATTATTATGAACATAATAATGTGAACAAATCACTGTTAATATAAAAATAAACATGAGAGACATGTCTAAAACTTTTCTTTTTGTTCTACTTTTTTCTATTTCTTTTTTTGTAAAAGCAAAAGAATAGAACAATACGGTGTTTGTCTTTTTATATTGTACTTAGCACTAACCCTACCAAAAGTTTCAAGAATAAATTTGGAAGTGTTAAAAAAAAAGAATATCGAGAACATATTTTATTTGAAGGGACAAAAACAATCTTCAATTTTGTAGTTGGTCCACAGCACTGGAAAAAAATCAAACTTTTGGAATTTTCGAAATTTCAGAGGTAACTGTGAAAATTGGATCAATGCCATCTTTATAAGTGTATTTAACTCTACTCTTTACAAAAATTTAAAGAAAAAATTCAGAGCCAGTTTTGAGAAAACTTAGAAAATATCCCTGGAGCTTCATGTAGTAAGTATCCCTGAATTTTAAAGAAAGTTTTTAAAAATTGCAGCACCTCGAGTCAAGTGAGATTGACCAGTGTACATCCATTTTTGAAAAAATCCTATGTATTGTTAAATGGTTTAGGTGCTAGTGGTATACAGGGATGGACGGACTTAATTTTTCAAAACATAAGTACATTTTAAAAACAACAATTTTTTGGTATCAGGGGGCATTAAAACGCGTTTCTATTGAAATCCTGAAATAAATAATCCATAGCAATATGTATTATTCTCTGTTCTACATATATTACTCCATATATACGTATGTGTACAAGAATGTAAAAAAATGAAGTATTTGGATACGTACATTTTAGTTGCATAGTATATCAAATAGGTTTAATTTTACATAGCTTTCAATATCATTACTGGCTCACTGCCTGTCCATTTGCTGCTGCTTTCCCATCTGTCCATCGCACGTGCTTCTCTGGGGATCAGAACAGTTCTAAGGGTATTCATGATAGGTACATAGATGGCATGTGCACCTGCTGATTTCTTCATAGCATAATCTAAATATGGTTAAATTTTTCATTTTCAATTTTTTTGACATAATTTGTTTTATTGGTGGAAAAACCTTCCTTTAGTACTTTGTATTAAGCGGATCTTTGTTATTACAGGTTTTGGATGAAGAAGCAGAAGTGTTTGTAGTAAAAATGTGGAGGTTACTGATATATGAAATTGAAGCAAAGAAATTAGGATTAGTGAAATAAACTATGGTTGAAAATCCCTGAACATCTTTGGTGTGGAAGACTTCAATAGGATTTGCCTGAAATTATGCAAGAAAATGTGCTTACGAAAGTAATATAAGTGGTGTGCAACAGGCTGTCACCGTCTCAGAACAAGAAGACTAATGTGATTTTGCGTGTTGAAAAATCATTTAAAACGTTTAAGAAATATGTGCTGCGTGTGCACTTGACAGTGTTAACTTGTGGCATTGTACAGATATGTGTTATTTTCCTTGGACAATTCTTCTAAAAACTATTATTTTTGTACATAGACGAGTTATTTGAAGATAATGCAAGTGATATTTATGGCTGGAAACTTAAAGGCAGCAATCTTTTAGTTTCATGTTTGACAAATAAATTTTGAATCAAGTTGTATGATGAATTTTTGAAAATGTTTTGTGCACAACAACAATGCTTTTGCTTCTTTAAGCAAAAGAAATGAATAAACAAAATAATTATTCTTTGATGTTTTAAAAAAGTACTTTCAAAGTATAAGACTCAGCTGCATTGTACAGTATTTTGTTAAAATATAGAGGTGTACTATTCGATATAGTTCAACTCTACAGGTGTACATTCTTGCTTTTCATTTAGACATTACCATACCATGTATCAATGGAAAGGCATGTATTGCAGAACTGTTATATCATTCATGAAAACTGAAGTATGGAAATTAAATTTAACTTTTTTGTTTATTTTTCAATCTTTATTCATTTGAGATTACAAATCAATAACATTACTCCTTATTCTTTAATATTGTGCTATTGAAGCACTGTTGTTTGGTTACAGAATTTGTAGTGAACATACATCAATACTATTGAATGCAAGGATATGAAACATTTGGTTCATGTATAGTACATATGTTTGTTTTCAATTTTTGTGTTCACAATCATAGCTGTAGTTTTTGTTGCAGAAATGATGATCAGTTAAAGATGACACTGGGAAACAGAAGAAATTGTATATTTTTTTAAGAAAATGCATTCATAAATATATTTTAGTTAAATTGGAAGTTAATACTAAGTTAGATTTAAATTTAGGGAAGTAAGATTTCATGCATTATAAACAGTATCATTTGAAGGTCATATATAAAGAAATCAAGGATTTTTTTATGGCTACTATTAGTTTGCTCAAGTATTGTTTCAATCTTTCTGGCGTTTCTTGTTAAACTCCTTATTACAAAAATGATGTGTACTGAAAGAAAAATATATATCTTCTGACACTATAATAATTCTGTATGGAAAGAGAATGAGTGCTGAATAATTTAAAAGGCATGCATCAATGTATTTATATATTGGGTAGGGCCAGGCAATTCTGGGCACATACTAGGATCAGCTTATGATTGCAAATGTTATACAGCCTTCTTTGTGCTTCATTATGCACAAGTATGTCATTGGTCTTGGGCTATATGCAGAATGAAAGCAATGGGTTGCATTTAATTTGACTGATCTTAATTTTAAAGGTAAATGTCTGAAAAACAATGGTGTCTCACGTGCATACATGGGCCAAGAAAAATAATATATTTTTTAGTATATCTCATTATTTTTAAATATGTAGACCATGCAAAAATAAGGGGTTGGCATATTGGTAAAATTGGGAATTTCAGGAAACTTTATATTCGCTGGAAAAGTTGTTGATTTTTGTTTTCATTTCCATGGAAAAATTATTTTCAAAGTAACTAAAATAAGAAATTGTCATAATTTAGGCAGTGAATGGAAAAGGACATAAATTGCTGTTCTGCAAAAATTGCTTTCAACATTTTTGTTGGATGAATAATGAAATATGGAATTGCATCATAAGTACCTTACTCTTGAAAAGGTCATTAATACCGTATTATACTCAAGTTTGCCAGTGCAAACACATTGTAAGATTTGTTACAGAAAGTGAATGGGGCAGACAGTCTGGTATGAATCCATATGGTATTATTAAAGACTGCAGCGATCTAGTCAAACAACAGATAGCTTTGCACTGCAGAACAGACTGTACCTTGCAGAACTGCATGCAGATGGTGACTTTTTTTTGAGAATTCACCAATATTTCCTTTATCCTAATAAGTTGCATTCAGATAGTGGTTTCCATTGATATATTTGGTTTCTCGTGATTAAGCAAATTTTTCATACCTTTCTCTAGACATTTTGAAATGAATGAAGAAAAGATCACAAAGGAATTGAGTTCTATGTAGTGTAAATAAACTCTCTTCTCATTAATTGCATGCTCCCAAGCCATTTCACACTTTTCTTCATTTGACTGAGCTTACTGACGCCACATTTTCAAGGGAATTGGTGAAATCTTTTAAAACATATAAAAATATTAAAAGAAAATGCACTAATTCTTTCCTCTACTTGTGTGCTGATAATTCCTCATGATCTGTTCACAAGTCTCTAATAGTGCTCTATTTGCCTCAACCTTAAAGAAGATTAAAAGTATGTTCAAAAATTCAAAGAAAGATGAAAAATTCAATGTTTTCTCTTCCTTTTTTTCTTTTCCCTTTAAGATTTGTATTAAGTACTTTTTGAATATACAGTTTACTAAATTGATTGAATTGAATTCACTATTACATAACAAGAACATAATAATTTATCAAAACAAAGGAGCAATTGCATAAACTTTGTTACTTTTTTCATGGTCATAAATAAAGTTTTGTCAAAAGCTTTTATGATTTTAAGCATGTAAAACATCGTAAATATATTTTAAAAATATTTATGAAATTTAATTAAGCAATAAAACTGAAATATAAAAAATAATTTTTGTATTAAAATTATAGTAAAATAAAATTTTATTTACTTATTATTGTACATTGCAGCTTATGCTTAACAAGAGTCATTTCACATAGGAAATAAAATTCACCTCTATCTTTCCCTAGGTTAGAAGAACAAATGTTTCTAATTTTGCTGAAAACACTTCATTTCTGGACAGTAGTTTCTTGACTATTGTTCTTTAATATCCAGAAGATTGTGCTTCTGGTGAATTGAAACTCTGAGAATTGTGATAAAAAGTGGGAGAAAAATGTTCTGTTAGTTTCAGTTGTCACCATCCTAGTGTGATTACACTGAATTAGCAATTTCAATATACTCATGGACCTCCACATTTCAAATCTGATGGTTCCATCGATAATATGTGATATTCAGAAATGTAAAATTTTTTCTAATGCTTTTAAACAATTTTGGAAAAAATTTGTCGTTGTCATCAGGAACTTCCGAGGTTTAGGGCACTTGGCCTGTTCTTTCATTCCAGTATTTCCTCAATCGCTTTTGAGGTGTTCCTGGTCTGTTCACCTGCTCTTCTGTCTTCTTTGTTTTCTTCTTCCCCATGGCTTGTATGTCTGCCATTTTTGGGAATCTGTTGGATTTCATTCTTTTTGTGTTTATGCCATTTTATTTGGTGCTTCTATTTCCTGGACAATGTTCTTTATTTTAGATATATTTCTTATGTATTAATTTCTTAACCTATCTTTCCATGAGAATTTTAATGCTGCTCTTAAGTATAATTTGGGCTGCTTCAATCCTTTGCTTGTCTCCTTGTCTTAACCCAAGTTTCAATACCATGTAATAGGGTTTGTTTGGAAACTGCTTAGCAGTCTCATTTTTGTTTCTGTATTCATGTTTTGAAAATGTCTTTTGATGCATCCATTTATTTTTCCAATTTGTATCCACGTCTTCCTCTTGTACCAAAATATGTTTCCCCAGGTATGTGGAAGTTATTATTTGTTCTATAATTTGATTATCTATTACTACTTTTATTCTTTTGTATTCTTTGCCTATTATTCCCATTGCTTTAGTTCATGAGATTGATATTATCATTTTGTATTCTTTTATGATCATGTTTAATTTATATGCTGCGTTATGTAAGTCATCGTCTGATTTTGCCAGGTTTACCTGGTCATCTGCGTATAATATGGTTTTTATGTAGTGTTTGTCTTGCCTCATATTGATGCTTTCTTCAAATTCCTCCTTTCATATATAGTCAAAATATGAAAGGAGGAAGTTGAAGGATGCATCAATATGAGACAAGACAAAAACTAGACTGTCCAGTTTCCATCAATATTCTTGATTTTGATTTTTGATTCCTTATAAAGAATTTTTATTGTAATTATTAATGTTCCTCTATATTTTCTTCTTCAAGCATTTTCCTATTTACTCTATCATGATCTTTTTCATAGTCTATGAATAGTAGGTATGTTGGTAAGTTTTGTTCACTCCTTTTGCGAATTATTTGGTTTTCAGTGGAAATTTTGTCTATGGTGCCTCTCCCTTTTCTGAAACCTCACTGTTCCTTTTCTATAATGGTTTCACTATATTCTGTGAGCTTGTTTTTTAGGATGCACAAATCTTGTACGCTGCCACGTGCATTGTTATTCCTCTATAGTTTTCACACATTTTTTTCTCTTTTCTTGTGGATATGTAGTACAATTCCTGTTTGCCATTCTATTGGTATTGTGAGTGTCATCCATATTTCACTTTTAGTAGTTCTTCTAATTGTCTTCTTTTATATTTTATTAGCTCCATGTTGATGTTATCTTGTCTGGGTCTCTTTCAGCTTGTTGTTACTCTCTTCAATTTTAATTTCCAACTATCCTTGCATTGCCTTCTGCCCCTTTTTTTTTCTCTTCTCTTTTCTCCCTCTCTTCTTCGTGATCATATCATAGTTTACTGTAGTGTTGCTTCTATACTTCTGTGGGTTTTATGTTGGTTCTCCATATTTAATTTCTTCAGTGTTTTGAACCCTAGTCTTTGTGGTCCGGTTATGTCCCTCTCCAGTGTTTTTACAAAAGTATCCCAGTTTCCTCTTCTAGTCTTTCCTGATATTCTTTGCATGTGGGCTCTTAACTTTTTGTATTCTATTCCATCTTGAATACGTCTTGTTTGTAAGTATCTTCTATATACTTTCCATTAATAGGTTTTTCAATTCCTCATTCCATGTTTGCAACCATTTTATGTTCTTTGTTTGCTTATAGACAACAGCCTCATTAGCTTCTCTCTTTACTGTCTGTTTTAATGTTTTGGTTTTATTTTTGGGCTTTCCCTCTTTTCTTTTTGTTTCAGAATTTCATTTTGTATTCTTGTTTGATACACCTCTGTGATGTTTTGTTCTTCTAAGAGGTGTACTTTGAACTCTTGTTTGTATATTTTGTTGTTTTTTGTGATTTTTGTTTTGGTCTTTGTTGAATCACTAGTTTGCTTTCAAGTAAATAGTGATCACTATCTATCTCACTTCTTCTATATACTCATGTCTTTTGCTATTAGTCTTGAGTCTTTTTGATTATTATATAGTCATTGGTCGATTTGATCTGTTGCTTTCCAACTACTTATGATTAATTTTGTGCTTGAACCAGCTGTTCATTGTTATCAATTTGTTGTATGTATATAAATTATCTGCATTTTTCCCTTCTGGTTGGTCACTTGTTCTCCTTCTGAGCCTATGCATGGTTGCATTTTTTTATTCCCAATTCTTGCATTAAAATGACTTGCTAGTTTTAGGTGTTCGTCCTGTTTTGTTTTGTCCAGACGCGGCTTGTCATTAAAAGTGGAGCCTCCCCCACAGAAATCACCACCCAAAAGAAATTTAAAAAAATGTATTTATAAATGTATTTTTTTATTAATAGTTGATTTTTGAGTTATTTTATGTAACGATCACATCAACTTTCTTCGTTTACAGGGAAGAGAAAAGCGTTAGGCTTCTGCTTTTTTCTGCCATAAGGTATGTGTAAAACGGACAGGCATGATGTCATGCATTCACTGCACAGGCTTACCAGCTGATGAAGGCTGCGGCAAGGCGGCCTTGAAAGGGGGTGGGGCCTAGGGTGAGAAGAAGTGTGTGCTCACCAGATAGTATTACAATGCAGCTCAGCAAATAGAAATGAGCAGCAACTAGTTTTACCAATACACGGCAGGAGTGATACTCCCTCATACCTCTTACAGTTCCTAGTTATAGAATCTCAATCTAGGCTCTCTAATGTCTGTATTGGAAGAAATTGTGTATTGCAAAACATTTAAATAAACTAAGGTAAGCCAAATATTGCATGGATTTAATGTTAATTTGGTCAGCTGTTGTGTCCCCCTCTACTTCAGCCTGCCAAAGCTTGCATCACTTAAGCATTACAGCCTACCCCATTTAGAAAACAACAAGCCACAACTGATTTTGTCCAAGGTTTCATGTAGTTTTTCTTAGAATTCTTCCGTTTCAGTGTTATTATCTCCTGATAGTTCATAAGTCCTTAACGCTGTCAGTTTGGTGCTGTTTCTATAGTTCTTTTCCTTTTCTTCTTAGTTTCAGTTATCATTCCTATTTTAATGTCTCATTGTTTTAATTCCCTTTCAAGCTCTTTCTCTTTGTACCTTAGCCCCCATGCGTTCCATGTTACCATCTTCATCAAATTTCCCTGCTTTCCTCTGTTATTAAGTCTTTTGGCTTCAGAGTTTGATGCCCACCCACCTTCCTTGCGATCTTCAAACGGGCCGTACCAGTATGCCCTATAACCAGAAGCTTCCATTCTCCGCTTTTTGTATTTCGCTGGTATGAATTCATACTTTAAAGGCCTTGTTATATCACATTAATTTTAGTTGTTCACATTTAGTTTCTTTACTTCCTTTCTTTTCCATGTAATTTTGAATGTACTTTAGTTTTGCCTCATTTGCTATTTATCCAACATCCATCCATTGGTACTCAATGGGTGTTCTTTGTTCATTTCCTTTTCCTATGTTCCTTGCAGTTGTTGTGCTAGTTGTGTCCCTTGGGGTTTTTGTTGACTGCTGGTGATTTTGCAGTGGAGTTTGTTTGTTTTTTCTTTGCTATAGCAGTTTGATACATTTGTTTTTTCCATTGCCTTCATTATTTCATTCATCTCTTCTGCTCCCCGGTTTGCTTGTTTCATGGAAAATTGAACAATAAATAATTAACAAATCTTTGAATCATTTATACCACACATTTATGAATAGTAACATGAAATTATACTGCATATATACTTGACGAAATCATTGAATTTATGTTTTAAACACAAAAAAATTGATGTCTAATGTCTTGTTGCACATATGATGCCCTTAGATCAAAATACTGTTCACACATGTTCACCCACTGAAACATTTCATCTGCAACATTTTCTCTCAATTGAAAACCCTGCTGTGTGTGTATGTGTATGTATATCTCTCTCTCTCTTTTTTTTAAGAAATGAAAATTTCTGGTGAAATTGATGTAGTTATTATTTGTATGATTTTAGTAGTTGAATTCTTTAGAATGCATTCTACTAACTGTAAAGGTAAGTGAAAACCTTTGAAAACAAAACAGTTCTTAGCACGTCACGCACAGTTTTTAACTGTTTTTGATGTAAATAAAGAAAGAAATAAAGCTAATTCTTTTCTTCAGTTAACTTTTTATGGGCGAGATCATTCCATAAAAAGTTGCTAAATTCAAAAGAGGACTACTTGATGTCAATTTATATTGGAAAACATTCTCATGCTCAAAACAATCAACTATGAATTAATTTGTTCCCAAAGATCTCTCAGGTTTGTGA